ATTCCGAACTTCCATTGAACTTTGCATTGACTTTGCATTTATAAATTGTAGAAATAAAAATATCAGAGCGCGACTTAGAGACAATACAAGCTGAAAAATCAATATATTATAGAGAAAATAAAAATGCTCAAAAAAATATATTTTTGGGTGTGCTATCACATGTGTGTGTATATTGCGGTTTAATTTTGTTAATTTACGACAATATAATAAGAAGAATTGAGAGTTAAAATCCATAAATTATGAAATGTAATTCCAATGTTGGCAGGCTTAATGTTCATTTAAGATGACGATAAATATTGCGAAAATGTCATCGAACAATTTGTTTGACATTAAAAAAGGAAGTGATAAAGGAATTTTGTGGATTGTGCAGGGTTGCTTCAAATTGTTCTGATTATAAAGGATCCGTACTAGTGCCCGTACTAGATGCTGTACTAGAGGCTGTGCTAGAGTCAGTACTAGAGTCAGTACTAGAGTCTGTACTAGAGTCCGTACTAGAGTCCATACTAGAGTCCATGCTAGAGTCAGTACTAGAGTCCGTACTAGAGGCTGTACTAGAGTCTGAACTAGAGTCTGTAGTAAAGTCAGTACTAGAGTCCGTACTAGAGTCTGAACTAGAGTCTGTACTAGAGTCCGTACTAGAGTCCATGCTAGAGTCAGTACTAGAGTCCGTACAAGAGTCCGTACTAGAGTCCGTACTAGATGCTGTGCTAGAGTTCGTAATAGAGACCGTACTAGAGACCGTACTAGAGGCTGTACTAGAGTTCATACTAGAGTCCGTACTAGAGTTCATACTGGAGTTTGGACTAGAGTTCGTACTAGAGACTGTACTAGAGTCCGTACTAGAGTTTATACTAGAGTCAGTACTAGAGTCTGTACTAGAATCTGTACTAGAGACTGTACTAGAGTTCATAAAAGTCATACTGTTTTAGGGGGCTTTTTCCTTGTAAAAAGAAGGAGAAGTAGTGAATAAAACTCAAAAAAAACTCAAAAGAGTTTGTACTAGAGTCCGTACTAGAGTTCATACTAGAGTTAGTACTAGAGTCCGTACTAACGTTCATACAAGAGTTAGTACTAGAGTTCATACAAGATTCTCTAGAAAGGTGCATGAAGGTGTGTAGCCTTGATAAATTGTAACCTTTAATGGAAAATTCATATTTTTTTCTGTTTTCTTGGCAAGTTTCAATCTTTAAGAAGATTCGGCTACTGTCTCCTTCTCTCATCTACCACCCAATGGCAAGCTTAACTCCATAGGTTCGAATTAAAGCATACATTTGATCCTACTCTTAAAATATGATCAATACTACATTTCACAGTACACATAACCTCAAAAATCGAGAACTCCAATTTTCTATCCATCACTACAACCCTGCATCAACATCCTTTACAACCAAAATAAAAGGATGCCAAACTGATAACACAAGAAAGAAGTAAAATAAATGTGAAATCAATTATTCAATGAGTGATTGGGATTTACCCATACAGTGATTTATATCAAGCAGTGCCTAAATAAATTTAACACAATCTCAATGGAGCATTTTCCTATTATCCTATCCCTTTATAGCTTTCCACATCGAGTCTAGAAAAGCCAAAATATTTAGTAAATATTTAAATAATTCAATTCAATTTGTATCCCTTTTTTTCTCGGCACAGCTAGTGTGCATTGTGTCTATGGAGGGATGTCTCATTTTTATCATACATCAGCACCACATTCCATATTCAAATTGGGTCGCAATTGAAATGTAAATACGATTTTCATCACAAACAAAAAAACAGAGATTTTTAAAATTTTCTGGTGGATTTATGCTGAGAATGAGTTTGAGACTTTGGGAATTTCTAAACTGCCTTTAAATTAATTTACATATTGCTTCCATCATTGAGGATGCTTATGAGATTTGCCTTTTATTTTTATTAAATGGAAGTAAATCTGAAGAATTTTTCTTCATACGCAATGCATAATTTAGATAAAAATGTAAGTTTGCTTACTTATGGCTGTTTAAGAAACGGAAAAAATGGCTCACAAAAGAGAATTGATGATGATTTTTCTGGAAGATTTGTTGCCAAACGTTTATGCTTTATTTGCTTGGATTTTGTAATAGACATTTTGTGATAAGAAATGAGACAATTTATCTTGGAGCTTTTGTGGCTGGGATTGAGAAACTAAGGGAGGGGAGGGGGAATTTTTCATTGGAGGAGTCACAGTTTGTTTATAAATGACATACTTGAAGACACTCTACACCCTCTTGCCCTCAATTGGAACATATTTGCAAATTAAGGAAGTTTACTTTATAGTTTTTAAGCACATACTCTAGCACAGATATAGGTTAGGTATAGGATAGGGTTAGGTATAGGTAAGGGTTAGGTAAGGGTTAGGTTAGGGTAAGGTTAGGGTTAGATTAGGGTTAAGTTAGGGTTAGGTTGGGGTTAGGTTTAGGTTTAGGTACATGCTAGAGTTCGGTACAAACCATAAACTCCGTTCCAGAAGCTTCTAATCACATTTCTGAATATAATTTAAGTTCAAACCGTTCACAAGCAATTCAAATCATCTCTTGTCGAGTTTCGAACTCAGAACCGCTATGTCAATTCAATCCTAAACCACTTAAGGTACCCAAGCTCTTAACCACCAAGCTCTACTCTACATTATACTGACTTTAAACGCATTATTCTTAACCGAAATCTTCATTCTCACCATTATTCACATCTGTTCTCCTCTTACCTCTCCAAATCATTAATATTCATAGGGCTCGTTCACTTATTACGTAACGCAAAAAAACGAGTTTTTAGACCCCCCCCTCCCCCCCTGTAACAAAGCGTAACAAAATCTTAGACCCCCCCCCCCCCCCCAATAACGTAACAATAATTTTTTTCATTTAAATTGTTTATCAAATGTTTATTATACTTCCTTTAAGTATGTAAAAGTAAATAGAAGGAAAGCAATAAAAAAATATATTAATCGTTTACATCCATATTATTAACTAAACGCAAAAAAAACTCATAAGTTTTGTAATCATTAGTCGTTTTCCCAAATTGGTTGAAAATGTTCTTAAGTTAAAATTTAACGTTAAAAAAATTTAAAATTAATATAGAAAAAATTATAAAAAAATATAATTTTTGAAAAGTTACGTAACAAAATTTAGACCCCCCCCCCCCCTCCCCCTGTAACAAACCGTAACAAAATCTTAGACCCCCCTCCCCCCCTAGTGTGTTACGTAATAAGTGAACGAACCCATACCTTCAAATTCATAAAATCTTACCCAAAACTTATCAAAAAGAATAATGAAGGTTTTAAATCCCTCAAAAAAGCATCAATGAACCCAAAAGTTCAACATTTTCTTCTTAAAATGAATCAATCGCATAAAATATTCAATAAAATCAATTTCCCGTACCCAAAATGTAATCAGACTTAATTTGTTTACCTTACTCAACAAAAAATTTTACCAAATTAATTTACTCAACCGCTGACTAAAATTAAGAGCCACGTGAAAATGAAAGTATGAAGAAGCCTGTAAACCTCGAGTAAATACCAAGAAAATTGAAAGGAAAACCTCATCAGACGCAATGGCAACAAACTTGTTTTGGGTCGACAATAAGAAGTAGAAAATAGCTTTTTTTTATATTTAATGTCCATAAAATGTATGTAAATCCTTTAATTAGACTGAAGCAGAGATCACGCAATTTCTGTGTCTTGTTGATATAAATTTAGAACTTAAGTTGAAGTCAAAAAGGTCACCGACATGTCATAATTAAATTAATAAGCTTAGTCAAGTGCTAGTTGAAGGACTTGGATGAGGAATGAGATAATGTTGGGTTGACGAGTATGAAGGTGCTTAGATGATGAGATTTGAACCTAATCTTCAAGACAAAAGTCATCAATTCTGACTCTTAGTCAGCTCAATATCATCAAAACAAAATACATTCTTACTCTTCAGTGTCTCATTTTGTTCCCATTTCGTTATCTTGTGCCAATTCCTTCATATCAATTAATATCACTTTAGATATCAGCACTCAATTACCAGAAAGTCTCTTTCCAATCAAATCTCGACTCCAACCAGAACCAACTTTCAAACAGTTCCCGCTTTATCTAAATCCCATCCAAAATTAAATAATCAACTTTTGCACACCCAAAAAAGCAATCGTTTTGTGCTATCAAAAATATTTATGACTAAACGTTGGCTAGGTTCAGCTTCGCTTGATAAGGAAACATTTCGAATTTTATGATAAGAATGATAGCAAAGTGTGAATGGGTAATAAAACGAAGAAGCTCACATGTTTTACAAGCATTTTTATTTTTTGTTGATGATAAGAAGCTGGTTATGTGGCATTATTGTGAAAATTCTTGTTTATTGAAGCAGAAATCAAAACAATTGTCGGTTTAATTAATTTATTGTCATTGACACTGATTGGGAAGTTTTGGGGAATCTTGTAGAACTTGATGGATGGAAGTGGTTTTTGATTGAGGTGGTCGGATAGAGTTGTTGAGTTTTGTAGCCATTAAGTTCTTGAGGTTTTTCATTTTTGAACTATAGTTAGCTTCTTTGTGGTCATATCGACAACACTCTATGTAATAGATTAAGAGATCGGTTTCTGGTGGGAATCGAACCTACGTCCTCACAAAAGTGGGATATAAATATGCGTTCTGTTGCCTAACCTCTCGCCCAAAGAAGCCTTATTCTCGTACCAGCATATTCGATGGCTTGATTTTTAAATGCTCAGACAATTTAAAAGGGTACGGAACTGATCAACAGACACGTTAAGATTGCCATTATCATTTTTTAAACTTTAACATCCAACCCCATGCCTTACAACTCAACTAATTATCAGCTATTAAACTTTATCATTAAAATCTATCGAAAAGTCGTGACATAAGCAGCACGCCGATAATCCACAACAACTGTCGTAACCTAAAATACAGCAACTGCCAATTGCTACATTCCAGTTATTGCTAATGTGCCAATTTTCTTACAAAACATTGTAATCAAATCTTGTTATTTATTTACTTTCAGTGGACGAGCACACAGCAAAGATAGTCACCAAAGTTCACAGAGCGATTTGAGTATGAATGGAGCTGCTGCATCACCAAAGATAATAAAAAGTTCATCAACACGTGAGTAGAATTTTTTTTTTTTTGGAACTTAATTAAATTAACTGCGGACATAGATTTGATTGTATTCAATTTTTTATTGATCTACGAAATCCACGACTTCCTTCCAAAAAGGTGTAAAGAAAGTTGCATAAATTTAAGGGGCAAATGAAATTATATCCAGTGATTCTTAAACTATTTATCGCATGTATTTTGACTTGAAGCTAGCTCAACATATTTACAGCAAACACTTTCCATGCATTTGTTCCTGCATGGTCTGTAAAGTGGACGTTGACATGGTGTACATGGTCGATATCCTGGTTTCGCTTGCTTCCAACAAGGTTGAGCTGGTGTGTCTGGTCTTCCAATATATTCTTTTGGATGTCCAGCCATCTTCCAAATCCCAAATGGTCCACGACTTTGGTAAGCTCCAAATGGACGACAAGGTCCATAAGGACGTCCAGCATAGCGACAGGATCCACTCAATGGCCATAGACGTATTTTTCCCATTGGTTCATCTTTGGGACATTGTAAGCCATTGTAACGAGGAGTCTTGCGTGGTGGATAGATGTTCTGAATGTATTTTTTGCGCATTATTTTGAATTGTGATGGACCATTGTTGTTCCATGGACCGTACGGACCGAATGGTGCTGAAACAAGATAGATTTATTGAATATATATCAGCATTAACTTGGTCCACATCCTTACCTCTAGTAGAATTCGTTGGACAAGCTTTAAAACAATTTTTCTTCGCATGATCTCCATCCTTACAAGTTGACCAGCATCCACAATCTGCATAGGTCGTGCAACACTTAAAGTCATTTCCAATTGGTCCAGCAGTTACTTCAGGATTCATTCCAGACGGTGTGAAATCTTTATTACAATCTAGTCTAGGCTGACATTCAGCAGTTCCACTGACTTGTGACTTTTTCTTCCTCTTAGAATTTTTTATTTTTCGTGGAATTTTACATTCATTGCACGAACAGAAATCGTTCGTCTGTTGCATGAGCTTTGAGCTTAGCGGCATCTTGCATGTTCCATAACAACTCATACTGGCTCTTAAAATGGAAATTTTGAGACAAAAGGGAAATAAAAAGAATTTTTTGTATAGCGACGAAAAGAAAAATTACTATGATGATGACGGTAATATGTTTACTGCTATTGATGGTGATTGATGATAGGGTTTTGTTGCTTTGCGAGTTGTGATTTTTGAAGGAAGATTATGGAAGGTTTGGAAATGAAGGAAATTCAAAAGACATTATTTTGAGGGTGTAAGGAAAAATTGATTGGGAAATTTTGAATTTTAAAAAACACGTTATAAAATTTTAATTTCAACAATGCGCTTCAAAAATTTGAGTTTTAAAAATACGTTAAAAATTTGAAATTTTGAAAAATCTTTATTTGAATATTTAAAACTCGTTAAATATTTGAATGCTTAAAAACCGTTACAAACTCATTTGAATCTCCAGAACGCTTTATATACAAAATTCGACTAAATTCAAATCTCAAAAAAACCGGTGAATTAGATTTTTGAGTTTTTAACGAAAATTCAATAATTTTGTTTCAAAACATGACCCGAAATGCTTTCAAACTTTCAATCTTGACTCACTTCTATCCAAATCCATTAAGGAAACAATATATGCGCAAATTTACACACGATCGATGAATATTCCTTCTTATTTTCGCAAATCAATCAACTAGATTCGTATTAATGAACAAAATTATTGACTCATTTATCATTTGAGCAGCAAAAAATGTTATAACTTAACTTATTTGCCATAAATGTTTGAATTTGTGATCTTTCATCGAGCGATTTGTATTGAAATTAATTGAATTAAAAATGAAAGCTGATACAAATTTATTCTTATTTCTTTTCCATCAAGTCTTAAGTCTTGTGGTCGCTTTTTGAATAGATTGAAGAAATTGATGGATGGCTAAAAGTTTGCATTGATAAATGATTCGACAGATAAAGGAGATTGGCGTGCTGTGCAAGCTATAATTGCGATAAAAAAATGATCTTTGAATATCTAGTAAAAGTGGAAATAGCTTTCGCCATTTAGTTCTACATAAAATGATTAATTCATTGGGGAACTTTGACAAATGACAAGTGCAATGGCTGGCATATCAAGTGCGTATCATGCTGGGATGGAATTTAATAGAAATTTAATAGCTTGACGGTGAAGTTACGATGCTTACTGCTTGCTGATTATAGAATTTATATATTAATGCTTTGTGGTGACCTTGAAATGCTTATTGCTTAATGCTTTTATGCTAATGATTAATGCATGTGTTATGTACAGTTCATAGCTTCTTCTTCCTCATCTAAATCTCAAATTGACCATAAAATATGCAAACTTATAAAAGCTACATCAACATCTAAAATGTGCTAATTTAGCTCCATGTGCTAATTATCGCTAATGATTTCTCTTCATCTGTAGCTCAAAAATTTTCTTTTATACTTTTGTCATTCATGACATAATCCGTTTGCATAACAAGAAGACTTGTCAAGTCTTGTCAACGAAGAATTTTAAAAAAATTTCAAAAAAAGAAGAATTTTGACCTCAAAAAAAGTTATTTTACTTGAGCTGATATTTATTTTATATTCAGAAGCAGTAAAGCACATAAAGTATTGGTAATATAATAATATGCAGCACACCCGGCAGAGCAGAGCTTAAGAAATTTAGCAATAAAAGTCCTTCCGAATCAATACTTAAAAAATTTATATTCAAAAACCGAACACGAATTGGTTTTGAAGAAGAAGATTTTATTGCTGAGCTGAAGTTGGGAATGGAAATGATTTCAATTTGTGCCAATTTATGGATTCATCAACACATAAATTTTTGCTGGTATGAAAATGATGTGGAATTTAACGGACTTTTTATATTTGAATATTTTATTAGGATATTAGGAAATTTGAATCCGAGAATTTAAGTGTGATTTGAGGATTTATGGATATTCTGGTTGAATTTATGGATCTTCAATAATCTATGATCTTAGAGCTCAATATGAGCTCCTTAAAAAAATTAAATTTCAAATAAAATTTGACGGTAGAAAAATTCAAAAAAATAATTGGGTTAAAAATTTAAATTTTTATAAACCGTTAAATCTGCAATGCAAATTTTCCAATTAAGCAACCGAAATGACAAATCTCAAATCTATCCTCAATTAAAAAAGAAGTCCAACAGTTTTATTGTCAAATTTAATTGGAATTTCATTCTTCCAATTCACCTCATACCATCCATTCAAATGAGCAATATCCCAGAATTTGCAAATCACACTCCTCAAAATTCACTTCATTTCACATCCAATCATCTTCTTCTACAAAATTAAATTTCAAAAAAATTCATTCCGAATATTCGAGAACAAAACAGGCAGTCGTTTCGATAGACTATTTATAAACATCATCATGCTGCTCACATAAACTCCATTCTCAAATAGTCAAGTGGACTTGAATATTTTCATTCTCATAGTTATTTTGCATTTTGCATCATCACAAATGGATGTATGTAGGTTAGCGTCTATCAGACATCACATGCACTGTCAGCAGCATGAATATGAAAATGCACTGCGGAAAGGAGGAAAAACATACTCAATATTGTGAAATGTTTTGAATGATCATTTATTTTTAGAGAATTGAGTCCAGTGTGTTAAAAGTGGAAACTGTCTGCAAGTTTTGGGGGACTTTCTGGATGAAAATTGTACGAAAAATCACAAGAAAAATTGTTCAAAATGCATGCAAAAGGAACCAGATGATCTAGAGTCTAGCTATTGGCTATAACCTACAAATAATCACAATTTAGAAAACAATTGAAGAATTTTTCGCGAGAAATTGGATTTTTTTTAAAAATTTCTCCACTTCGAGTTTTTGTCATCAACTTTTAGCTTCGTTTGTCCTTCTTTTATTGATTTATTGATTGATAACGATTATAAATGGCGGAGCAAAAACATTTCAATCTATTTTATCTATTAAATCTAAGTTAAACTAGAATTTTCAAATAAAATGCAAAAATAGGAAAAATGGCGGGAAATTTTCAAAATCAAACGTTATTTCAATCAACCTAAATAGTTTGGATAGACACATAACAGAAAAATCAAACTAAGAGCACAAAAAATCAGTCTTAACAACAAAAATAAATATGATAATCAAGATATACAGCACAGATCTCCCAAGAATAAATCCGTAACACATCATTTTTCAAATCCACAGACACTTGCACCGTTCAGTGAAGTTTCTCTGTTAATTTACATAAAGTAACAACATAGAAAATATAAAAAAGCAGCGTAGAAAAACAACATGTCCATCAACAAGCAGCAGCAAAAGATAAATAGATATATCTACATTCAAAATACATAAAACAAACTGAAGTGAAAATATTTTTTTTTCTGTTGGAAGAGAAGTCGTTGCATAAAAAAAATAGAACCGACAACACACAAAAAAAAATTGCAATTGAGCAATATAAGACATACAACAGATGAATGGAATTGCTTTAAATATTTGCATAATACATTTTTATATGTTTTGAGCTTTTAGCAGATGAAAGAATTGTGCATGCTACAGGGATGTCAGATTTTGAAATGAAACCATTCATAATACGGACTTATTATAGCATCCCTGATTGTACCTTACGAAACAGAACAAAGATGTGCATCAGCAAATTTTTTTCTCTCTCTTGCTTCTCCTTCCCCTCAGAAATAAACACGAGCAGTACAAGAAAATGCATTTAATTGTGATGCTGCTTCTGCATTTGCTGCTTTTTGTGATAATTTCCTTTTCATTGCTATGTTGCAAGCTTTTTTTGCTTCGCTTTTTGTCATTAGCATGCTGCTTATTTTATTGATTTTTTTTCTCGTTGCACTTTTTACATGCTTATCAATATGTGCTTATGGCAGCGAGAAAATGAACTTTTTTTATGATTTCGGAAGTGAAACATAATCGAATGTTTTGAATATGTTTATAGTTTGTTGAGGTGATGGTGGATATGGGGTGTGGTGTGAATTGGGACATGATGAGGATTGAGGAGAGGTTTGTGATGCAGTCTGGATCGATATTGATTTGCCTGTGTATCATTTGTCATCCAAGGGTATCTTGGGACTGGAACGGTACACTTGTAAAATATTTGTGCGATTCGAACTTCTGCTGGTTTCATATTTTCTGTTATCGATTGTTTTATGAAGGAATTGAGTTGTTTCTGTTGAGAATCGAACCCAAGATCTTACAGGAAAACTTTATTTAAAGCATGTGTCCAACAGCTTAAGCCATAGTGATTTCAAACTGTCGTTGACATATTCGCAGTATATATGAATCATTGACTTCCTCAAAAATGCTCGAAAATATATTAAAGTCAACACCCAGTCTATACACACACCCATTAAATCTCAGTAAGAAAACTGAATAAGCCAACAATACACAAAAGAAATAAATTAGTATCAGATTCATGAAATTTAATTTATCAAATCCATTATCTTCACAAAAATTCTCATTTTGAATAAGCAAAACGTTTGCATCATCAATCATATTTGCCATGTTTAAAGAACATCCAGCATAATTGAATTTTTCAGAAAGATTTCTTTCAATTTTATCAGCGATATACTTACTATTTTATCTCTTGAGGGGATCATCCATAAATGACGTCAATTAAAAATATTAATTTTTGAACCCTTTAAAGTGCCAGAGTGGATTAATTGAAGGAACATTGAAAAAAGAATAGAATTAGTAACAAAGTTCAAAGTCTGGTTCAGTATTTCAAGATATATAGTTCCTGTATTTTATGGCCAATCCTTCAAACTTGGCTATGTTATTAACTTTCATCAAAAAATAATTAAAACCTATTTTCTGTGGACTGTCCTAAGCAACAATTTAACTTCCATTCTAGTCAACAATCAAAACGACCCCCAAAAACTAAAATGAAAATTATTTGCTTTTAAATTTCATTCCATTCATCTCCTCATCGTACCTTAACTAAGAGTAAAGAAAAAATACTAAATTCATTGATGACAGTTTGAGTTTCATTAAAGAAAAAAATAATTTTAAAGTGAGAAAATTTTGTATTTTTTTTTCACTCAGAAAGTTGTAAAAATAAGCAAGAAAAACGAAGAAACAACATCAAAGGAAGTGAAAAAG